GGGGGGGGGGGGGGTGTACTCATAGTCGTGCATGCCGTAGTCGTTTGACCATTGACCTCGCATCCCTACAAAGCCGGGACGGAGCACGCCGGGTTCTCACCGGACCAGGCTCTCACATCACCAAGCGCGAAGCGCCGTGAGGTATTTGGCGAGTCGCATGAAGGGTGAGCTGCATCCTGCTAAGGGTGTTCGGCATCTTGTGCTTACTTCCTTGCGTACGGATGACAGCTACGTATGACTTAATTTATTTTCTGGTGCTTTCACTTCCAGAGACAGTTGTAAGCACTGTGTAACTGCCTCGAGGGTGCTTGACCATTTTAACACAACGTGGTGCGATCATCCCCCGTTGCGCGGAGTGAGGGTCCTCCACCCCGCACAACATGATCTACTCGACCACCAGTATGGTTACCGCCAAAAAAAAAAAACCGAGGTAAAAAAAAAAAAAACGGTAACCTGGTTGCCGAGTTCACGAAGTGAATTGGCTTGTTTTACAACGTCGTTGCCAAGCGACGAAAACCCAATCCCGATGGCAAACACCGAGCGGGGGGCTCGTTTTACAACGTCGTTGCCAAGCGACGAAAACCCAACCCCGATGGTAAACACCGGGGGGGGCGGCTTGTTTTACAACGTCGTTGCCAAGCGACGAAAACCCAAACCCCGATGGCAAACAAGGCCGAGGGGGGGGGGGGGGAGGGGCCGGCTTTTTCGGCACTGTCCACAAAGTTGACATCGGCTCCTGCCATGATGAGCATTCTCGCCGCAGCTGCATGTTAGCCCACGATTGACTGGTACAGCGCCGATCTACCTGTGGAAAAGGCCACGACATTGACATCCGGTCCACACCCTGCTTGGAGTAAGTCAGACATCACGTCAGCGTTTCCACCCAAGGGTGCGGCATTGAGCATTGTCCGGCCGCGGCAGTCCCTCCAGCCGGCCTTGCCGTCAGCCCTAGCCCTCAGTAGCCTTTCAACGAGGTCCAAGTTGCCGCTGGCGGCGGCGTGCTCGAGTGGAACTCGCAGCCACCTCGCCCACTGTCGTGGGGTGGCACCTTCGGATACGATCTTGAAAAATCTCCACTTCGTCCTCTCTCAGCACATCGCGGTTCGGGCACCGGGGCATGATGACCAGCGGTGCGGTGGAATTTGAATTTTTATGCAGTTTGGTTCCACGTGCTGCTGCGGCTGGTTGCTAATTCGGAGACGAAGGGAATGCAGGGTCTTGATTAATCGTTTGACCTTCTTGTGCCACGAAAGGAAAAGTAGTAGCTGTGGCATGCATGCAACAAGCTCAGGTCCTCGGCCTGCTTTGTTGTCGGCCAAACTGCCAAGGGCTGCAGCAGATCTCCGCTTCGGTGGGGGGGTACCACTTCAACGTCGATACCACGGAGCCCCAATGTGAGGATCATCCCCATCCACCTTGCAAGCGTGTTGTATGATATGCACACTCCTATGCATTTGTAGTCACTGAGCCATGCAAACGATGTTAATATTGCTGATGAATTAATGCACGCTGAGGCTACTGTACAGCGCGAAGGCCGCTGTATCTAGCTATTGTATGTTGGTCGTGGCACGGGAACCAGATGGTACTGTATGTAGCCTAGAGGTATAGGACGATGGGGCCATAAGAAACGTCAAAATCGGGTCGAGCCTCAATTTCTTATTCCGGGCAGAAGGACCAGCCGAAGTCGGCCAATTTCCTAAAATGGATTTCTTATTGTTCCTATGGGCTGTCGCATCCTGCTGATTCTCTTATTTTCTTATTATTTCTGGTGGCGAAGAAAACAACAACACACACACCAGAACCAAGCCTTCATGCAGCATTGAATGAACCGACAGCTCGGTTTGGCGAACATTGGGGGTTGTGGCAGTACAGTACAGCAGCAGTGGGTATAGCAGCCCACGACGGCGCTGGGGCGCGGGGCGCGGGGGGCGCCGCGAAAATGACCACTCTCTGCCCCGACCAAAAAGTCACATGACATGTAGCTAGGTATAGTGGGACGTTTGGACATGCTCCCCCAGCTTCTACCCCCTCGTTTCTTTTGTCTTGGGGAACCGCACGATAATGTTTCTTATTGGGGCGTTTCTTATGTTGTGGCCGAGATTGAGCTGTGTTTCGTAGCCTTTTTTCTTATTTTCCTTAAAAATTTGAGCCTTTTTTTCTTGCCAGAAATTTTCTAAACTGCGGCCCCATCTGTAGCACGGGTGTGCTTATACGTTCTTATCAGGAACCTCGGGGCAGACTAAGAGTTTCTTAGATGCGGGCGCGTTCTATACCGGAGTTACGGAGACGCTGGGCGCACTACAGTGCATTTATATGGCTGAAAACGCGACGCTTCAACTCCAAGGTTGGTGCTCAAGAAAAGGGAGTAGCTTTGTGCCGGAACTGACGACATATTCTGGACGAAACCATACAGGCAAACAGACAGAGAGACACCAACAGACCCAAGGACATACTGCACCACCACTCGCCCACATTCGCGTTTAATAGGACTGTCATTTTTTCTTCCGGTGCTCCACAACCTGCCGTTGCCTGGCGAGCGCCAAGAAGCTAAACAAACACTGCAGCAAGATTTGCCTCGCGCTGCCTCTCTCCTCTCTCCTACACACAAGGTGTCCAAGCGGTGGTTGACCGAGGCGCCAAAACTATCCTTGCCGCCGTCCTGCTACCGCACACAAGATCAGACTCGAGTTCTCTGTACATGTCAGCTCCTCATGTTTTCGGACCCCAAATTCCCTCTGCCAGATGAGCAAGAGCTCCTGACTAAAAAAATGCACTACCACAACTCAAAGATGTTGGTCTTGTAAACGCGAAGCTTGCAGTCTTTTGGCATGCCGTCCGGCTCGAAGGTGTCACACACGTCTGGGATACGGAGCAGCCTGAGGCCCCTCGGAAGTTGGCTCGCGAATAGCTGCTGGTCGAAGCAAGGTCCAAAATGTAGCTCCCTTAGCCCCGGAGACCACGCGACGTCGGTAACGGCGCAGCGGAAGGCGGTCCCGAACTCGAGTATCCTGAGGTTGGTCGCGCTCGTCCAGTCAGCCGCCTGGACCGGGTGGTTGAAGGCGTCTCCGAGCCTTAGAACTTCCAGGCCGCCGGGCCACTTCATTGCCTCTATGGGCTGATCGAAGGACGAGCCAAAGGTCAGGCTCTGCAGCGTGGCAGGCCACGCCACCAGCTCTACCTGACGGTTGAATCGATCCCCGAAACGCAGCACGACAAGTCGTGGCGGCCACGTGACCCCCTCGATATGGTGATTGAACGTGCCACCGAGATGGAGATCTATCAGCGAGTCAGGCAGCGGATGGTCGAGCGGGTGGTCGAACCTCCAGCCGAACTTCAGCCCACGAAGGCCTTCGGGCCAAACGACTTGCGACAACGGCAAGTCGACGCGAAACGCCAGCCGAGAAATCCGGCGGTGAGGCAGTACTCTACTATTCTCCGCAGGTATCACAGGCACGGCGCTGTCACTTTTTATGTCACCGCCGTAGAGTGATAGGGGTGATGACGATTCTCCTTCATCTTGCCGTCTTGAAGGTGAAACGAGGCGAACGTTCTCGTTCTTGACCACCATGGAATAGTCCGTGCTGCTCTCGCGGCAGGCATTGCAGATCGAAAGGCACACCAGCTCTACTTCAGCAGGCTGGACAACGCCCGATAGGACTACAACACGAAGAACGTCCGCGGCTTTGGTGCTCTCCATGCGCTTCGATCGAGCCCTTCCCGAGAGGATGTTCTGCTGCGTGGAAGTGTAGCACGACGCTCCCCGAGCCGAACACCTACTTTCCCACGCAGAAGAACGTCAAAGCCTCGGTGATTTTCACCACACTTCTACGCCATGTGCAGAGAGAGCAATGTGGTCGTATCAGCGTAGTTATGTCGAATCACACCCAGAGTCCGTCCACCTCATAGCCTGGGCAGGCAGTTTTGTGGTTGATCTCCGGGGGTCGAGGCCTAGCGCTAGAAGGGGCACGTCCCACAAGTCTTGTCTTGAGCCGACCTCCGTTTTCTGTGAGGTAGGGCGGACGAAGTTCAATACCCACGCAAACCGGCGGGGGGAAGCTAAGAGATTATCCGCCACACAGATAGTAGGAGGAGCATGTTGCAACCTATGGAAAACGAAACCCATTCCTGTTCAGTCCAGGCTCCTCCCAGATTCTCATCCCTCTACGTCACCAAGGTCAATCACGTTCATCGTCGTTCCGCGCCTCACAGAGACGGCGGGGGAGCACAAAAACACAGGACGTCCCAAACATGGTTCTGGTCTTCACACGAGAGAGCAGATCAAAGGACATCCTTTCGCTTTTTATGTTCGGGAGAAATGCCGGAAATGCTGCGTGATGATAGCTCGAAGCAGCTACTGTGTGTTGTCTCAAAAATCGAAAACTTTTCTGTGAAGAGGGAGAACGAGCTTGTCGCCCCCATCTCTTCTTCATCACCTTGCGCCTACGGGGCCTTTTAATCGTCACCACGTTCCTCACAGAGATCGCAGACGAGCACGGAAATAGAGGACGCCTCAGAAATGGTCCCACCCTTTTAGGTACGGCTTCGTTCGCCATCGATCAAGACAACTGCTGCGTGGAAATAGCTCGAAGCAACGCGGTCGTTCGTGCAAAAAAGCACTCTAACGGCTACCACGACACGAGCTTGCACGTTTGGCGCGGGGTGAGGATAAAAAAGTAGCCACTTTGAAGCTATCTGGCAGGCTAGACACACATAACTTTGGTCTTTACCAAGAGCATCGTAGTCGAAATGAACTCTACGCAGAAGTAGCAGTGGAGGATCAGAGGAAAGCTACGGACAGAACACCATCACGGCGTGTGGAAAACCTGCAACTTCTTAGATCAAGCTGACGTTGAAATCTCCTTTCTTTTTTAGCGGGTTGTCGCGGCTCGCAGGAGACACCGATTCCTCTGTCGCCATGCCGCCACAAGATACACTATCAATATAGAGGGTGCCTTGACCAAGCCCGCAAAGAGTTGGATCCCAACTACAGTACGGACAGCATACAGCGGGAGATACTGCAAAACAATCTTCGTTCCTGTCGGAATTTATCTAGGGTGTCTGACTGTCGGCGAGTGCAAATTGTAAAAAACAAAACTAATAATCCCACAAGGGTGCCACAAACAGCACAACCGACGAACCAACTACCCAACACAAGCATACAGAGAGATGCACAAGATGGCCACCAAACACATGTTGAACCTGTTACCCACAGGGGAGATGTCGCTGTGTCCTGCTCGGGGAAATCGTGGAAATATAGGTAACTTCCGCTGACGCTATGGATCCCTTGCTAATCTATCTTAGACTCTTTTCGATAGAAAGAGATGGATTCGTTGTGTCATACAACGAAAGAAAAAATTATCCGAGTGCCGCAGCACCGGTGGAACTTGACCCGTTGTGGGCTGAGGCCAATTGTTATGGGAAGAATTCCCAGACTGGAATCCCGACTTTACGCATTTACATCCAAACCCACATGAGGCCGCCGGAGTTCTGCGCAGTTCGTGGGAAAAGCACACGAACGCGCTATGTCACTTAGTACTCGGCTCGCAGAGACCCGTTTGCAATGAAACCTTCGAAACCGCACAGTACATTGCTGTGCCTCTTCGAGCCAAGTTTGGAGAGCTGGGGTGCAGTGTGTGTTCATCATGCTTGGTAAAATTGGAATTCCAATTTGGAAGTGCTGGATGATCTTGGTTGGAATTCCTCATGAATTCCAAGCTGGAACTCCAAGCTGGAATTGGTTGAAATTCCAAACTGGAAATGGTGAATTGCTTTCACATCCGAGGCATACCCTGTGCACACTTCTCTCTAGCTGCCCAAACTTGGCTCCTAGAAGTCACAGTAGTGGAGTGTACAGCCTTATCGGTTAAATAACAAACAGGGGTCTGTGAGGCGAGGACGAACTGGCGAAGTGCCATGGTGTGCTGTGCTTACTGTCCAGTACGCAGACCGCCTGCTTTTAGGAGGTGGTTGAGCATTTTCTGTCCATCCCCCGGATTCCAAATCGGAAAATTTCTCCACAACAACTGGCCTGAGCAAGGCCGAGGAAACAAAGTAGCCTGCCTCTCTGCACATGGCGACAGGCTAGATACATGGGTCGGCAGGTTATTGTTGCGAAAGGCGCGAATCAATGGGGCCAGAACACAACAGACATGCCGCCAGGTGAAACTCTCTAGTCTATAGACTGCCGTAGTCTACAGCAACAGCAAGACATACCTACCGCTTCGTAATTCTTAACTCTAGCGAGTTGGAGTGCGGAACACTCACCGACAGATCTGCCATATTGGCTGCTGCTCGAGTGATAGTCGCAACGCTAATAAATAGGACAAGTGCGGTTATGTGTGAAGACTGCCATTCTACTACTGCTGTAGGACGACTGCCGTATAAACGCCCAGTGGTGTAAAGGGATTCTTGCCGCAACACCGGAAACTTGGAGGGTAACAAAGATACCTCCTCTAGCAGTACAACATAACGCAGCTCGACCCTCGGTCGGTTATGTATGCATGAAAGTTTTGCAATTTATCGTTATTTTCCAAGCTGTTGCTCAGAGAACCCGAGCTAAACTTGCCTAGAGCCGCACCATCTAGTGCTGCACCAACATCCGTGCGAGAGGAAATAAAGAGCACTATTGTTGGTGTGGAAGTCTATCTCACTGCTGCGGAGATCGCTCTCTTTTTTGCTGTTCAAACTACAGTAGTGGTCCCGATATAGTGGCACCCTGAATAGTGAAATGCCCTCAATAGTGGCATCATAATCTCGTGTCACAATCTCAACCCGATATAGTGGCGTTGTACCACTTTTGACGGGACGCTCAATAGTGGAATTTTGGGCATCTCATCCACCCAATAGTGCAATTCAAAACGTCGGAGCCCCCCTGTATTCACCGCAAGCTCTGTCTGAAGACGCAGAGAGATTTTTATGGAGAAGGTTGGCAACACGTACGTCCAAGCACTTTCTTTCCGACGACGAGCTAGAGCTAGACAACACCGAAGATTCTGAGAGTGAGGGGGGTGGAGGGATGATGGCGCCGCCGTCGTTCGCGGAATTGTCTGAGCTTTTTGGTCCTCTAGAAGAATAAGCGGAGTCGTGTGGCATGAGTCGTGTGGCATTGGCGAGGTCGGGCATTTCCTCCGTAAGGCAAAGATGGCAGTCTTCGCAGCACATGCCGCTAGATCGGCACGGCAGTTGGACATCGGAGCGTTTGCCCAGTCATAGTGTAGTGGCATTGGTCGGTTGAGTCCTACAGGTGCAAAGCATCGTGGCGGTTGGGATTGATGCGCCGAAGTGGGGAGTGTTCGACGTTTTCAACTTGGTTGCTCCAGCTTGTTTCGCGTACATTGATGTTTTCCACACGTGTGTTTCGCTTGCGTCGAACCCCATCATGGATGGCTGGACAAAAAAAAAAAAATGTTACTTTGTTTCTGCAGTCCGCAGCCTGCACACAAAGGAAGGTTGCGATCGCCGAAGGTCTCGTTATCACAAGGACGATCAAGTGTCAATGCACACGTGATGGGCGGACACCTGCGTTTTCACGCGGATACTGGTGCACACAACAAAAGAGGGACCCAAAGATACATATGCATACACAACGCATACGAGTGAAGATCCAAGGAACAACTTCCGTAGCGTAAGCATCAAAGCTTATTCTCCGATGTAAATGCCTATTGACATATAGTGGCATTATTGCCACCACATCGAATAGTGACATTGCCCTGAATAGTGGCATGATTTTCTCTTGCCACCTCTGCATGCCACATATACAGTATATCGGGACCACTACTGCTGTTGTACTACACATATTCTGTACACCATGCGTGCGGAGCGGCTTGCTGCTGCAAAGGCATACCTGTGTGCCGTAACAAGGGGGAATGAGCTGCTGTTGATTCGGCACTCACCAGAGGTTACAACTACGACAGCCCAGGCTGCCGTTCGCTCCTGTTCTGTGCTGCCTGTCTTTGGTGCTGTGCGTCGAACACCTCTTGCCGCAGCTCGGCTCTCCTGTCTCGGCTCTCGGCTTGACCTCCGGTCGCCCGCAGATTGCCCCCGTGGCCCTAACACGAGACTAGGGTACGGGCCGCAGAGCCCCCCTGCCTATCGGGCAAGGCGGAACAGGGACCATGGGTAGGGATAAATTTTTTAAAAGCGGCGCCTCTGATTGGCCCAAACCGCCGCATTTGAACGAAGCTGATTGGGAGTTTGAAAGCGGGTTTTAAAAGCGGCACTTGGGATTAGTACGGGAGGAGTTGTAAAGACCGCGCGCGCGTGCGTTGTACTAAGAACCAACGTGCGCGCCGGCAGCACTGCACAGCTGCACAGCGCACAACACGTGCTTGCCAGCGTATGTATATCGCGTGGACAGACGCCGCGACGTGGTGAGATGCCAGGCAATGCCCCTCATGAAACCACCTGGGGCTGGGCTGCTATTGCGGCGGCGTGAACCTCCTGCTTGAAGCAAACGACCTCATCATCAACCAGAGCGCCGGTTGTGTTTTGGCATCATCATCATCATCATGACCGACCACGAAGCAACGGACATGGGATAAGGGCGTGGTGGCGACGGCTGGCTGTGTAAAACACGTTGCTGAGCACTGGCGGCGGTAAAGCTAGGAGGAGAGGCAGAGGTAGCAGCGGTCACCCCGTTTCGGCTTTTCCAGGTGAATATGTTGGTGCTACAAGCAAGTGTACAGCAACAGCAGTGAGTTGCAGCGCTTAGCCTTCGTGGGGTGTATCGTGTGCGTGCCTCTCTGTACGCTGCTTAGTACCCCATTGATGTGACGGCTGCTGCTGTACTGCTGTAGTGTGCGTACATAACGGGTACCGAACGTTTCTTTATTAACAGATCAGCAGGTGCTGTCCTGCAACGTCGTCACGAAATCAATCGGTCTTTTCTCGCAAGCATTATTTCACCACAGCGCAGCAACTTTACAGCAGTGTAGCAGATAGAGTCGATGACCGTCAGCAGTGCCGGCCCGCTCGTAAGAGCTTGGGCGAGGTTAAGCACCTTGCCGCAGCCATGTGAGCTGTGTATCATATCCTCTTACTTTATTTTTGCCAGCTAGTACAGCGAAGACAGCACAGCAGATAGAGTTCATGCCCACCCCCTTTGAACACCAAGCTTTCATCCCAGTATGTCTAGTCTACCTCAGAAGAAGGCATTACAAGACCGTCTGCAAGCACCTTACAGTAGGTTACCGTTCCCAAATGAGAACCCACACGATCTATCGTATGCATATTTATCCTCATCCTCAGTCGCTGTTTCAAACGTTGAGAATCCGCGCATGTTTCCGTGCCGGGGTGCCGCTCATCGCAACCGTCGATCCGCTCGGTCAACGCCTATTCTCCCACGGCTGATTTCGCCTCGTCTACACTGCTCGCATCTAGAGGCAACGTCACGCTAATAGTCCTTTGATGGGGCGTCAATGCCACGCCGTATGCATACGTCGTCGTACATGTGGCTGTTCAGGGCAGCCACCTGATTGATCTGCCCCAATAACTACCCCCGAACCAAGCCTCAAGAACATACAAACAACCAATACAAAGCGCAACCTAGCTCGTGAGGGGGGACCCCCGAAGACGAAATCCGTCCGGAAGCTGCATCGCTGCATGTATCAAGCTGTGACTAGGGGTCAAAGGCCGTTTCTTCCCACGTCCAACCTCAAATCCTTTCATTTGTAGCAACTGTATCCACGCAGTCCCTTCCGAGGAACTGGAGATCTGTGAAGGTCTGCTTGCTGTACGTCGGCAACCTTGTCACGGTTCTTTCTTTTTTGTCGTCAACGTTCAACTGCAACCTTCAGCAGTATGTAGCGGGTTGTTTGTTCTTACCTCCTGTGTACCGCAGTTTTATGTACATAGCGCGAGTGTAATTCCTACTTGTACAGCAGTAGTTTCAGGGTTTATCATCGGTAACGCTCGTTGAGGCGGACACAGGGTGCAGGCTTGTATGGTAGTAAATACGTGGTACATCGTTGAGGCGTGTCAATGCAGTTGCTGACGTTTTCCCTCCTGTGTGTTCTTCGTACCCCTTTCCTCCTCTTGCTCCATCCGTGCATCAGGTACTCTCGCTCAGCATCCTAACGGCACCGCGGCGCTGGCGGGAAGCCGGCCGCGACTCGAGCCTCACTTGACAAGCCGGTTCATCTTTAGGTGGGTCATATGCATAGAGCAGCAACAGGGGGTTTCGTGCAGTCCAGATTGCGATACAACTCTACGGATGAGCGTGATATTGTTGAGGGATACGCTTGCATGCGTGCTGCTGGGAGCGACATTTGTGCTACTCAAGTGTTTGTAGAGTTTCTGCATTTTTGTTTACGACGCATACTTGTATCGATGGCACAAACGGCCGGGCACACTTTTACCAACTGTCCGCGGTCCAACCATGGCACTACAAAGGGCCGTAGAGAAGTTCGACGCTTGGGTATGTTCACTTTTGCCTTTTGGCCTCTGATGAAAATGCTGAATCGCAAAACACATGTCATGTTCTCGCTTTGGATGACAGGTGTTCATACAACCGAGCGCTGGACATCAAGACGGGGTCGAAGGCTGGTTTGGCGGTTCCTCTCCGTCGAACAGCTACCCAACCTATGGGGTGCCAGGGCAGTGTTTGAAGACGTGGTGTTAATCCTGCGCGATGTAACGGCGATTCAATGCGAACCTCTTGGTGATCATTGGCAGCCATCTTGCATCCTGCGGAGAACTGTTGTGACGACCGGAAGATGTAAACGCTTGGTTTACGCACAGGCACATTCGGAGATCTAGGGTTCGTTTTCCATGCTTATTCGTTGCTATTTCAGCGAGCGCCTATTCGGCGAGCAAATGCTGTTGTGTCCCGTTGGAATTTGGAAACGCCTTGTGTATAGGTTACAGCGGTAGCAGCCGGTGACTGGGGTAGTGAGTAGGGGCGGTTTGGTGGGGACGGGGGCGTCCATGCCGAATGCGAAGATGGGCATGAGGGGATAGAAGTACCATCCGTGCTATGGAGGCTGGACATGTGTCATTTTTCGGGGGGGCGTGCAAACCTTGTGGGCACCACAACAGCAGTAGGAGTGCCTGGCAGCAACGTAAGTACATAGCAGTAATGGGAGAGAACTACATAGTGTTGGCAAACTCTGCTGTCGCTGAAGTTCCAATTCTTGTTTCCCAAACCGGTTTGGGGGTAAACGGCAACGGCCGATGCTAGCCCTGATCGGGGTGTGGTGCAGTCTTCTGTAGCAGAACCAACCTACACAGACGTGATGCTGCCGTGTTTTTCGTAGACGTCTGAATGTAGAAGAACACATGGCTTGAATGTACACGCATCGATCCTTCTCGTAAGATGCCCAATGTAGAGCAAAACACTATACTTTGAAATCGTACTCGATTTGAAAGAGATAAGTACACGTACAACAGACGCATGCAAGAAAAAAAAAAAAGGGTGGTACCTTCCGCACAATCATAAAGCCTCTTAATTTAGTGCACTCCCTCGGCCGCAATTCCTTGTACATTCTGATGCGCATGCATCAGTCCTCCTCGCAAAGTGCCAGGCAATGCAGAACAAAAAACGATTTTGAAATCGAGCTCGATTTGAGCGAGATAACAGTCAAAACAACAGGGCACAGAAAGGAGAAAAAAAGAGGCTTCAGCCCAAACGCCTCTTCGTATTTTTTTCGCGCTTCGCGCGAAATTAATATAACTCGTTCCCGGGTTGCCCTACCCATGGTCGCTGAGCCGGCAAGGCCTCTCGGCAACTCGGCAACGCATCATTCGCGCTGAGAGCAGAGAGTGACCCGGATAGCTTCTCTCTTCGGGGAGTGTGCGCAGCAACCATGGTAAGAGAGTTTGACAGACGGGAATGGAGGTACCTTCATGTCTGCGGCGTTCCCCCGGCCCAATCTTTCGTCCATCCCGACGTCCAAAGTCGGCGTAAACTGCGGTAATCGCGCCGCACAAATTGCAGGCGGTCACAGCAGGCAGCAGGCTACACAGCAGCGCAGCAGCTGCCTGAACAACTCAGTTATTACGCTTGGCAATGCGTGTGTCGTACACGGTGAACCCCTTGTTTGTTTCGAAACCCTCGCGGTCAAGGAGGTTGTTCGTGGCCTGCCGGTCTTTGTAGGCTGCGGTTGGTGCTCTTGGTAGGTACTTGGATTCACCTTGGACATGTATGTAGTGTAGGCTCCCAGCGCATGGCTTATGTTGACTACTATTGAAAACACCGATGGAGCACCAAGTAATCACATACGAGACACATAAGACCACGCAGGGTGGAGATTATAGCGCAGCAACATCCGTTCGTTGTCATTCAGATCAGGCCGAGCAGCTAGCGGTTAGGGCTTATCTCCACCAGCGCATCATGGAGTCTACATTACTCAATGTCTTCTCTCAAACCGAACCCATTTTTCAACGAGTCTATATTCAAGACGTAACGGGCGACATGGCAAGCGCTCAAGCAGGTTCCTTGCGTTGTGAAAGGTCCCAACGTCCCAACACGAACATTTATGTCAACAGACAAAATAATCATGCAGAGGCAACCTCGCGTTGGCACGCCCAGATCTGCTGCAGCTGCGGTCCGAAAACCCCGCAAATCTGGTTCCATGTAGCATTGATGATCCGCTGCTGTCACAGACCCAACCTGCCAATTGTGGGTCGTCCAACAAAGCTAGTGTGAGCTATTGTTGTACACCCGCGGTTCAGGAGTAATGGGTCTATGGTGGCGTGGGTCGTATATGGAGTATGTATGTTGTTGTTGTTGTTGTTGTTGTTGTCTTCACATTAAAAACCGTTCCGATTTCTCTCTACCCAGGACCTTCGTATGTCCGTACTGATCCAACACTCGACGCGGTCGATTCCCGTGGTCACAGGTTAACTTACCCTAAAAAAGTACACTCAAATAAACTGGCCCCGAGGGGTCCGCAAGTCAATAGAAATTCAACGGCAGATATTCTGGAATCCTCCACTCCCTCTGCGCGCTATGCGAGGGATCAACTGAGACTAGGAGTCACTATCATGGGCCGGAGAGAAAGAGGTACACCCCCTTGGTTCAATCCTGGTACTCCACAACGCAAGCAGAGACAAAGCCATCTGGCACAGAAAAAGAGACAAAAAATAGAGAAAAAAGAGAAAAGAGAGAAAAAATAAAATAAAAAGGAAACAGTAAAAGAAAAAGAGAAAATAAAATGAAAATAAAATGAAAAAGAGCGAGGACAAAAAGGGACTAGGCCGAAAATAACAAGAAATAAGAGGCAGAAACAGGCACACGATGGGGAGACCACTAACGAACAAGCAAACACGCAAACATGGCCACCACCCAGCGATACATTGTAATGGTACGTCATCACTACTGGGGGGTTGGTGCAATGGTGCAGCGTTGGGGGGGGGGAATTGGCTAAAATATATCAATCCGGCACGCATCGTGCCACTCGGTCCGTCTCTTCTCGTTTGCTTTCTTCCCTCGCCGTCGTATGGACCCAAATTTGCGGCGAACTTTTCGAACTGCAGCTGTAGCATGCGAAAGCATGACCCCAGTAGCAGATCCGGTCGTCCCAACGCGCAACTCGCTGCTCGATGATATCCTCCACTTGTTTAGATGTATAGATATCCGTGTCGGGCCTCCGAACGCAATGACCGTAATTGAACACCCTCTGCGTCGCCTGGTTCACGTTGCATTTAAACTGTGTTGGGTAAGTTGTCTTGGTCTGGGAGAAGGTGTGTGAAGGTAGGCTACAGGTGATATGCTGCCACAGCGCAACCGTTGCTTGGTGTGACCACTACCGCAATTTTTGTTGCTCAACACTTCCCGACTGGCCTTGTCTACGTGTCTCGTGTGCTGGGTGCTACCCGGTTAGTTTTGGAAATCAATCAAACCAAGACCGTTTCGCACTGAGTCCTGCGCCTCAGCAGAAACTCGATTCGACCACATTTTGCAAAATTAGCTGTTGAATTAAATTTGTACGCATGTAGGCTACATATGTTGTTTGGACAGCGGCGTGTGTACTCGGTGAAAGACTCAAACTGCCAGCTCCTGAGTGCTTGTGCGATTCTCGGCTGGTTCGGTCGTAAAGCACCTGTCCTCTTTCCCGCGTTGTAGCCGTCGACACTGTATCGGTGGATGCAGCAATAGTCATTTCCCATCTACACGCATGGTGTTATCCACCTGTAGCGCACCGTGTAACGACTCACCAAGGCGTCGCTCCGCCCCCCTTTTGCCTCCGGCGTCATTTCGTTTGCGTTTTGCTCGAAGGCGGCCGACCGGTTCAACATGAACCGTAGTTGGGATCATATCCAAAACAAATACGTCGGAACCGGCCACTCGGACACCACCAAATTGTAAGTACACTGCAGTAGCATGAACGACTCTCATGCGCTGTTGTCGTCAGCTTCGGGTCCGTACTGCTGCTTTCTCTTCGCATGTGCTGAATTTCGTGATGGTGGCGTGCAGTGCGCCTTTTCCTCTCGAAAATATTTGAAAATGTTTGGGAGCACCCGTTTTGCATGTCTCTCCTTGTATTCGCTGCGAATGGGCTTGACGTACCACTGCCGCCCTCCCCACCGCCATCCGCGCTTGTGCACTTTTCCCCCTGCCAATCATCCCTACTTCAGTGAATGGGCAACAAACCAGCACCGAGACTCTATCGCATCACACATTGGACACAGCGACTTGCTGATGTACTTTGCCGTGGCGGAGAACAATGCCGTGGGCCGTGTGCGGTACCAGCTGCTCGAGGTAACTCATTCCACACTTGCTGTAGTTTTCAATTGGAATTTTTTTTTGTATCACCGGTTCCTCCTTGTCGAATCTTCACGTGCCAAATAGGCGTGTACGTTGGAAGGAAAGGCCGTTGTTTTCGCCCGGCTGGGTTGGCGACGGAAGCAGTATACCACAAGCGGCGCTCACGGCTGGGGCTCAACTGCATGGCAATGTTTTCACCGCCAACCTGCGTGTTCTAGCACTATAATAGCTCTGGTCGCGTGTCTAGGGGCCAAGTGCCTGCTCTCAGTATTAGATAGATTCTTGCATGGTAGCATACTACGATTTGATATTCTCCCTGTTTCCAGTCGTGCACACACAACCGCGATGAGTGGAACTATCACTGCGTAACACGTCGCGAGGAGGCACCGGGAAAGGTTCGTTGTCCGCTGTGCGTTTCTCTTGTACCATAGTGTGGCTGCCGTTGCTTCGCGCCGTATTTTTACTCACTGGGCCGTACTGCTTCCCGCCCCGTTTTCTTCCTTTGCAGAAAATGCTGCAACCGTGCGGGCCACCACCAGCAAAAGACGACGACGATATATGACACTGCTTTTGGAAGCGCCGACGTCTTGTCGGTTCTTCGTCGATTTACATTTTTGCGTGTTTGAGCGCCACTCTTCGTGTGTAGACATGTAGACCAACGTTGTGTTGGTGGCGTTATTATTGGCAAAACATATAGCGTACAACGGTGGATGTATTTGTGGCCATGTGGCGAAGAGATAATGAAACGAAATGCCGTATGCATACGATCCGCGGCTGTTGCTTGCCGAGTATGTGTCTTGAGGTTCTTGGGTGGCATCTGTTTGCGTGCATCTAGACCCTATGCTATCGCTTCATGTGGTGCTTGACCTCAGCCCGGACATGACCCCCCGTCTCGTCAACAGCCGTTCAGAACGAAGCTGCACGCGGCGGGATAGCTAGGTTATCCGGTTTGAGCCCTCGTGTCGGGATGCGTTTCGCCATTCTTCAACACATCGGCGGAGGGCGCAAATTGGTGAATGCAACCAGGGAAGGATTCGCCCCCCTCGGGATTTAACGCGGGAGACTAAGGAAGAGAGTTCCTTCTCCAGAGTAAACACGACCGCAAGCTGAGCAGATACTGCGAGAAGCGAACGGTGCGGAAGTAAATGTTGAACAACTTTGGTGGGGTTAAGTGCGGTGAACACGATGGATGTGTGGCGAGCGTATTTGTTCATCAGCGAGTCAATCAAGCTATTCAGCTCACCTATCTATACTGACTCTGGCAAACGCTCGCGGCCCCACCGCCGAAACCTGACTTTTTGTAGAACGGTGCTTTGTGCAACCAATCGCGGCGGGTACCGCCACTCAAGGCGCAATATACCCACCACCCTGAACAAAAGGACGTCGGCAACTCGTTCCGGGTACAAACTTGTCTTCATTCTGAATCAGCCTTGTTCTTGTCAACGGCGTACATGTTACGTCTTCACCACGCCAGGATCACTCAAGCAACGTCCACGATGTGGAGCTGTGTGGCGGTGCAGCCCAGCTTTGTCCTTGATCCACAAAATATCTCACGGGTACAGCAATTGTTGTTGTTTTCCTTTGATTGTTTGCATTTTTTGTTGTTCATGTGGTGTGCACCGTAACCACCGCTCCGGTCGCTCTGTTCAGTACCTTTGTAACATCCGTACCGGGGGGTCCTACGGAAGCGGGCGCATTGGTCTACATGGTCACAGGCCAAAACTACCCTCAAAAAGCGAAAAACGCTTGGAAAAAGTAGAAAGGAACGCGACACCCGAAAACCACTGAACTGAGACTTACGTACTGCTGTACGTCTGCCAGAAGGCATTTGCAGCGGAAGGTGGTAGTGGATATAGACGACTTGTCCAAAAAACAAAAAGTTACACGTGTTTGTGCCGGCGTATATAGATGTGCCGTCGCTCCAGATTAACAGGCATCCTACACATGCAATGATAATTCTCGTTGTCATGCTATCATAACACTCGTAAATAAATAATAAAGACTGCCTGTATGTAGTGTGTAATGTGTTCTCATTACATAGCCGTTCGACTGTGGTCTTATCTCGAATGGGTAGTCTTTCTGTGTTTGTATTTATGTTTCCTAATGTGCTACATAGCACTGCTGTGTCTGTTGAGTACAGCAGTATACATGTAGTATTGTAGTACATGACGTTCGAAATATATTGATGTCCAAAACCGGAGGGCGGGGTGGGTGGGTTGAAAAGTCTTACAATGAGTGTTGCGAACGACCTGCTGGATATAATATTGGACCTATAGTCTACTGCTGTATTTGAGTCTGCCAATATTCCCGGAGAGCTGTGTGGCGGCTTGTACTGTGTAATCATGTACCTCATGTGACCTAATCCCGCCGCGTCCGAAAATGGAGTTCTATGATTGGCTGGCTTGCTCGCTAGTGGCAAGAACCAAGAACCAAACACCTTACTTGTACAGCAGTAGTGCTGGTGACGTTTCGGATAAGGATGAACCAGGTTTAATCCTGCCGCACACCAAAAACATCCTTTTCTGCTCGCGGTGTCTTGTGAATCTTGTGCCGGTGTTCCACATGCAAAGGGCGGGTGCAAGAACCTTGTCCAGAGGCCGAGGATCCGAAAGTATAGCATACGGGGACAAAGTCTGACATGGCAAAGCGAAGAAACAGCCAGGTAAGCAACTCAAGGTGTCCGCTCTCTGCTGTAGTCTGTAGACTACGGCTTTTTCATTGGCTTTACGACTACACATATATATACTGACCCTTTCGCTGTGAACATTGTTTGTTTGCGTGAAATTCTTGTATTCAAATTTAATGAATGGCCAACAGACCCTACTACATGTGGACTGGTGTTTCGAATCCAATCGTTGGGGGGCTCCTTTCGCGATGCCGACGACTGGGCGCGCATGGACCAAGAACCGGCATCAAGAGTTGTTTCCAGCTTTGAGCATGTGCTTGCTGGATCGTACGTTGCACGGGGCATTCCCCACTGTTGTTCGACATTGGACAGGTGGGGTTTCGGGACGATACGAGCTACCTCACAGCCCACTACGGTGGGCGAAGCCCTAGGCGAACTACTCGAGTGACGACCCATGGGATTCCAAGGCCACCCGAAAAGGCATCACCGGTCGGTAGCCAGGCTGACCCCACCGTGAAATCAATCGCGCCAACCAGGGGCAGCCGCCCCGCGTCAACTGGTGTCGTTATTGCTAGAAGAGAGACGATTGGAGTTGGTGCGCGGAATGCTGGAGAAGGGAGGTTCTTGGTGAGGCCTACCTTGAGCGAGCAGCTTGCGTCTATCGGGAAGGCTGCGGAGGATATTACCGCGTAAGGTTTGTTTTGTTCTCGCCCCACGTCGTCCTGTCAACAAAAACACAAGAACACATGAGTTGATTGATTGTTGCTTTCTAAAGAACGGTCCGAGTGTATCCAGTTACCAATGTCATGGCAGTGGCAGCGGCGGTTGTTGGTGGCCTCGCTGTCTTTGATGTCGTCACACTGCTGCAATCAGTTTCACCTTGCCAACAACAAGGCAGGCGTGCATTGGCAGCGCAACCCTCGGCGCTTTCCCATAATATTGTGACAAGCGTGTTTCACATGGACCGCACCGTCCGATTTTCAGCAAAGCTATTCAGCAAACACAACATTTTTTTTTGCATTTCGTGGCTTTTTCAGGGGTATTCGAAAATCGCACGGACTAAAACCACTGGAGGGGGCGATACTCACCACACCGTCGGAGAGCTTCCTCGTTGGCAAGCTGCGGTGGTGAGTGCCGTTTTCGTACCATACCTATGTATCTCCCGAAATATAGCTATTTGGACGAAGGAATTTGGTTCCTCCCTGTTTGTCTCATTTAAGGATGAACCATGTACCCTTTGCTGGTGTCCGATCTCTATGACAGATGACCTATTCTGAATGGGACGAACGTATTGTGTGGCTTGGCATGAGATGACCACTTGAGTGCCACCACCAGACTTCCAGCACGGATGGGTGGAAATTCAGCTGATAGTTTCTAGTAGTCGGTGTCAGCTGACCACACCAGGGCCCCAAGGGTTGGGGTCACATTATTTTATTGGATTGTGCGAGTGTTGTGTCGAGGGTTCTCCTGGCACACACACACCGCGCCGCTCCCTCCTCGCATGTTACAATAGCTGCTTGGCGATGTGTGCGTTTTGCGCTTGTCCCACGCATCGCGACCTCAAACACGGAACAGCACTGACGCCTCTCATGGTGCATGCATTTTTCGATCAACTTGACCTTGTTGATTCTGTGAAATATCCTCCCCCCGTCCGTAATACTTACGAGGGAATAGCGGTAACATGTTCGCGTGTTGTCCATCCTATCATCGTGTTTCACTCCTGACCACGGCAGTAAATACCCGTCGCCAGTGGCCTTCTTCAATCACAAGTGCGTCTACACGTTTCATCACCCTTTTGAAGCGACAAGGGTAAGGCGGTGTCCGGTCCAAAACTTCAATTAAATGTTGAATGTTGTCCTTTCACTCTATAGATGCATCTAATGCCACGTGATTAACCCATCAGCGAATCATTGGGGGCCAAAACGGCCGTGAGATGTTTTTCCTATGACGTCAGATAGTAGGTACGGTCGTTGGCAGATGCAAAATCTGCAGTTGTCCCGCATGTAAACATTACCGCTTTGTTTGGTTAGAACGACATCGTGAGCCAAACAACATCTTGTGTGCAGTATCGCCACACCAGGTGAATGTGACGAAAGACGTGCGATTTCAACCGATCACGCCATAATAGGTTTATGTATGTGCGATACCACAACCCATCATCTAAAACATTTGTGTGAAAATGACGGGCAGATCACCATGGAGATGTTCTTCCGCGACATGCGGAGCGCTGCGCTCGACTCCCCACGACGCGAGCTGCGTTTCAAGATCGACCACCCTCTGTGCCACTACACCAAGGACTATTCTCACGACGACCCTTCCCACTTCGTCGTGATACAGTTCAGTTCGGGCCTAGATGCGGAGAGGGTCCTGGAGAAGGTGGAGTAAATGCTGCACACCTGTTATCCTCAGACTCAGAGGGCCTTCCTACTTATCAATGAATCATACCGCGCTGGAGTATTGTAGTTTGCTCGAATTTGGACATTAACGTACCATGGCTTTTTGTTTCGATCTGGGGTACTGCGTCGACGGTTTGGGGTAAATCTGATGAACGGGTATCCCGTGTCACGACTACGGTGCTTCCAAAGCACGCGCAAGCATCTTCTCCCGTGCTTGCATTTTGCCGTGAACGATGCGAATGAGTCTTCGCTCAACCCACCAGGGTTCAAAAACAATGCGAACGTTTTGCTTCTCTTCCTCCACCAACCGCCAGGTCATGCCGCTCATCCGAAGGTCAGGCGGTGTCTGTTGACGGGAAACTATGTGGTGCCGACACCGGTGACTTTTGGCAACCGACACGATTTCGCTTGCTGAAGACTGCAACACGTGGAGATATCATCATATGTGTTCATGTCGCAACTAGGTTACAGCCAACCCGCCTTACTTAGTAGGTACACTTGATAAATAACGTATCGTGGGTGGGTATGTGGCAGTAATAAGTAGCAAGCAGGGTGACTTTCCTTTGGCCCCGTGAACTCTTAAACGGTTGATTTGTCGTTAATTCCGGCGCTGGGGTAACTCCGTAAACCAAGCGTCTACTTGGCGTCTGCATCGGGGGGGAATTGGCCGCCCACGCCAACGCTGCACTCCTGTCGATGTTGCCGGAAGAAACGTCACATCACACGAAACAATTCCGCTGGTAGGACAAAATTCGAGTACATCTCTTGTGTCGGGGTCATGTTCCACCGTTCATTAGCGCTTTTGCAAGAAGGAAGGCCCGCCAAGAAAGAACTGGCTCTGCTCTTTCGTCAATGTATTTCGACGACAAGCGGAAAATAGGGTGATTTTGCGGCCTAGACCCCTCTAAAACGTGGCTGTATGGTCGCACAAACCCATTGGCGGAAGGGCTGTCAGAATTCGCATGGAACACGTCTTCGAAGGGAACCCAGAAGCTGGAATCGGGTAGGCCTGCGCCTCTACTGGTCTGGGTGGGTAGGGGAAATGAAGGTTGCCTTAATATTCATCGGTCAAAGAAAGACCGTTTTCATTGGCGATTGGAACGATAAAACGAGTCGCTATTCAGATGGGAGGTGACCATTGGTCTTGGCGTACGAAATCGTATGATACAAGCACCCCCCACCGCTATAACGCCTCAGAAGGCATGCATGGGGGGAAAAATAAATAGAAAATGACCCAACCATGGAGTCCACTCCTCTGCTCGCTCGCCTACTGTCCTCGGCTATTTAATGGGCGCGACTTGAGACATACTAGGTTTTCCTACTTTCTGAAGAGCACGACACGCGAAAACATCTAGCGCAGAGAGTTTATTCACGGGGACGAGTGTGGTGATTCTCGTTTCTCCTCTCGTGTTGTCCCTTACTCACAAAGACCATACACATAAGGGCGTTTCACGGTCCAACCGGTGGTCCAGGATATGCCTGTATGATTCCATTCTCTTCGCACTTGCCCAACATACCAACCCTTACGAAGCAGGCACGTGCCACAAGAAAAATATTGCGGAGACTTCTGCGTGTTTCCTACAAATACTCCCAAGCGAGTGCCGCGTGAAGGCTATGGTATTGGTAGGTGCGCCTTTGCCTGGAGCTCAGCAGTGCTACCTCGCGAGGAGATATTGACGATTGTCAAGCCTTTGGGTCTATGCCACACGTCTTTGACGAGCTGGGCTTGCGAACATGAACCTCTTTTAGAACAAGCACCAACCCTACTCGTTGCCTCCACCCACCTCCCCCGTCCCAGAGCTGCTCTCTCCCCTCCCGGTTCGCGTCTCCCCGATTCGTAACCTCCCCTCCCCTCTCCTCCTCTTTGTAATCTGCCGGGGTTCTGCTCCTTCAAACAACAGCCGTCAACTTGTGATACGGTTCCTCCGGCGCCCATATTGTTAGTCATAAAACGAAGCTTGACACGCTCATATGCGCAGTGACTGAGTGCGCAACTGACTACATAACAAACTACGTCAGTAGTTAAAGACAGAGATCCACCACGAGAAACTGTGCGAATGAACCCCCAGAACAATCTAAGGCAGATTGGTCAGCAAGTGCCCATCGCGACATTAGAATGCACACGCCGCGCCGATCATCTTACCCGACCACAAGAGAGACAAGTACACAAGCACACGTATGAAGCAACATGCAGACAACACATCTGTCCCGGGCACAATCAACTTCGATTATCTTGAGTCTCGTTAGCATGATTGAAGGACCGAGCAAACGACTCCCCAAACGTACGTGTCGTCGCGTGCCGGGTGGTATGGTATTCCACGAGCTGTGAACGAACCGATCACCAACCATATTGTCCTTGGACAAACAGCCCGCAGCATCCTCGCACGTAGCCCGCCCGCAAGCCCACGCGAAATGTGATACCTACATTGCAGTGCATGTGCCCCCACCATTCCGGAAGCCAACAATCATTGTCGGCGTATGTTGCTACCGGAGATGAACTATCGTCAAACCAACTGCAGTTTTTCCCAGCACATGCTGCTTGTATTCCTCTCTTTCTCACTGCTCCCGTCCAACAAACACATCACACACGCGGTGCAGATGCGTAAAACACACCATTCCTTTGTACTGCCAAGCCAAAATGCTCCGGCCGATGTGTCGACAAACAACTACTATCCAAGCGTGTCGAAACTCAATCTATCTTCCAGGTGCGCTCTTGCCTGGTCGTTGTCGTTCGGGCGAAAATTCCACGATAGTAGTGGAAGACGAAACCCAAAGATTGCGCGAGCTAAGTATACACTCAAATCGTTTGTCCCCCACTCCACCCCGGTCTCCGTGACCAACCAATCGCTTTTTGTGTGCATTAAGAGGGCACAGCAAACCGCTTCCTGAAAACATACAATACAGGAAAAATTCAACCTCCCCTAGCTTATTCCACGTCTGCGATGTGTTTCGCAACTCCCGACCTCTACCACAGCCTGGTCCCCGAGCCATCGCCTGCTTCAATTTCCAAGGCGTTCCATCCCGAGATAGTCCATTGCAGTAGGAAGGACTGACAAACAAATCTACATCCCGATCAATCACCACTTGCGCAGCCGGTGACAATAGTTTCCTCGCGGATAGCTCGCTAGCCAACGTGGATGCCGAAGCGACCCACAAACCACCGCAGTCAAGCTAGGAGCAGCAGCCAATTGTCCGAGTACAGTAATTTCTGAAGCATCAACGCCCGTTTCTCCAACCCTGCTCCCCTCGTCGATCGTGATCCAGGCACCCAAAGCTCGCGTCGCTCTAACCGTTGCCGAAGTCCGAGTAGCGCTGGACCACCAACAGGGCTGGAGGGGGGGCCGTCCCCTGCCGTGACTGTGGGCGAGGCCTGGACGCTGCTGGCGGCATGGGCTGCGGGATGGGAGGAGGCGGCGGCGGGGCCGTTCTCTGTTTCTTCTGTCTTTGCTGCGGCGGCAAAGTGCCTTGACTGTCCGCCAGCTGCTGCGGAAGAATCCTCTTCGGCTTCTGAGCCTGTTGCTTTATCGCCGTCGCGACCACCGGCCTGTGGAGTCTCGCAGGTGTTTGCTGTCACGCGGGAGGCCGTGGTGGGTGATCCAGGGGGGGAGTGGGGGGTACTCAGTGTCATGCAGCATCACCACAGGCGCTAGGCTGTATTTGGAGCGGGATTAGGAAAGTCGACGGTTGTTGCGGGCGGAATGCAATGGCCTCGCGAGGCTCCGACCACTAGGGGAGGAGAGGCCAACAGTGGAGACATTCGCAGCGGTACCGCCTTCGTCACAGTTTTTGGTCACTGAAGCGTCAGCCAGGCCACCACTACATCAAGCAGGGTCTCAACGGCGATAAATCGAGTGCACTTATTCAGGTTGCTCGTCTCGAAATTCCGATGGTGTCTGGAAGACAGCCATCAAACAGCTGTTGCGACGCAGAGGGAAAATCCACGGCTTGTAGGTATAGGATCGCGAGGAGGATACGAAAGAACGCGAGTGAGTACATTTTGTGGCCTTCCGCTACAAAGTTCAAGTTAAATCCGATACAGTGGTTGCTGATGCTGCTGTTGTGGATGTACTTGACGTGTTCTCATACCTCTGGGTGGTTCTTCCTGTGGGCCATCAGTTCCTCCATTCTGCTCATGCCACGACCCGGAAAACCCAGGGAGGCGTGTGTTCGAGGTAGGGGAGGAAGGTGACGGAGTAGTTTGAGAAACAACGGCTTCGTTTGATGACAAGGCTTCCCTCTGATGACATGTTTCGTAGAAGCGCGCGGGGTATGTGTTCACCACGCCCCCGCTCAGTGCGCCGATTGGCAGAACACCCGGCAACCAGCTGCATTCCCGAAGGAAAACGATCTGCAACGCAGAAACATGCCGTTGATAGGGCAGATTTTGGAGGCTAACGGGTTCCTACATTCGCCTGAAAAGAGAAGCACCGCAGACAAAAACACAGCTAAAGCAAGATTAGCCAAAGGATCACAAAGCACACGATGGTCCCCTCACGTTTTAGACGCGTACTCGCAGCCGGGGGCGCGGCAGTGGTAGTGCTCCGTCTTGCTCTGACCGTCCGCGGAGACGAATCGGCACTGGGAGCTGATTCGGCAGGACCCGCGTCTGCCCGTGACCTTCTCGTAACCGTCCCTGATTGACGGGTCGGGAATAAGGTGGATGAGGTGGTTCAGTTGGTTCGTCTCGTCTAGATATGTTGGCATCGTGTTGGCGGGAGGGATGATTCCGAATTCCCTCCGTGCCGAACCTCAGCATCCGCGTTGTCTCCACACAAACCTGTTTGTGGTTGCCAAGCCACCGCCCTCATATCGAACAGGTTGCGACGCTATCTGATCTGCTATCCAGCAAGTCTCCTTTCGTCTTGCTCGTGATTGCTCTTTGTTGGTGTTCAAATTTAAAAATGTTGGCACATGCGGCGGTCTTGAGCTCGCACTTACCGAGGAATGATAGGACCAATCGTCCCGGTCTTGTGGCCGTTCGAATCTCTGCAGGGGATATCGGGTGTAGGGCACGGAGGCGACACGGAGCATCAGGAGGACGGGAATAGAGGTTACGGGGGCGTCGTTTTGGAAGAAACGATCTACGACATGAGTACCTCCAGAGGGCAAGCGCCCAACCGCCGAATACGTAATATGTTCATGCCTCGGAGTGCCTGCAGGTTGCAGGAAATAAAACGTGCCCCTACAACTGCCACCAACACCAATGACACCCCCCATAACCAGTTCGTTTTACCCGGAGAGTACAGCCGCAAGTGCAGGATAGAAGCAAAAGCATCCGGCCACAGCAGAACAGCCTGTTTGGCATTCGGCGACAATCTCCACGGGAAGAAAACAGAAAACCTAGATTTGGTCGTTCACCTCGGTCCCGAGCGCCTACAGATGCTGAAGTGGCAGGTGGCGCCAACTCTGCTGCACTGGAAGCATCCCTCTTTGCCATCGCACCTTACCTGCTTGTTCAAGAGGGAGGCAGCTATCAGATGAGGGAGGGAAACAAAATTTGTGGGAGTTTAATGTGCCGATCGATACAATCGAAAGAGGACCACACGGATCCCCGCCCCACCCGCATTTGGGTGAGAGCTATATCCCTTTTCTTTCTTGATTCCTGGTGCGTCGAAGATTCGAAACGTTTACACCGACTCTCGAGCCAAGATATATCAATTGGCGCAAAGTGTGCACGACAAGTCTACCCCCCCCGGTCAGATATCCCAGATATGTCATTTGCATAACGAAGGTCGGGCATGTACGTGAGTATCGTGAATCGCCTCCCGGCGTACGTACGTCAACCATGTTCACGTTCGTGGACATGTTCATGTACATTGTTTGACGAACAACCTTTCTGTAACGTAATTCTCCAGAAGGCCGGAAGCACTATGATTGGGCAAACTGTATTCGGTAGTTTTCTCGTTTTGTGGGGTCACTGAACCTTTTTGCTCGTGCACCGATCGCACGCTTTGCGCAGCTGCGACCATACGGGCTTCTTAGTCTTCTTGCGCGACGGCCTCCGAGGGCGGCCTGATAGATGGTCGTTACGTTTCGGCCGGTGGGGAGTAGAAGGAGTAAGACAGACGACACCAAATACATCAAAAACATATGATTCCTCTTCTCAAACTTGTAAGAGGATATAAAGTTTTGACCAAGAAGATGAGCAACTTGACCGCGTCCGACGACATTATTACCGCGGGCATCTCAACGAAAGAGAAAGGGTGCCAAAGCAAAGAAGTTCTTCTTGATGCAAGTTCTGCATACGCTAACATCAACAGCACCGTGAAGACAGGCGTCGTGTATTGGACCGGGGAATAGTACACAGTGCAGGGATGGGATAGTACGCCCTTGATCAACAGTGGTTCTCGAAGGAAGCGGACTCACTCTTGCTGATGATAATGCCGACGGTGGTACTCTTGTTGATGATGCGGCCTCCACCGAGGCCGCTTGCTTCACCCTGCGCGGCGAACTCATCTTCGTCGTCCTGAGTTTTCAGCAGGAAGAGGCGGGCAAGATGATTCCGAGTAGATTTAGTGTATTCGGTGTCAGCGTTCAGCATTCCCTCGTAGTCGTCATACGGCTTGAATGAAACTGCTTACGGAAGTGTGCATGATAAACGCAAATGGTATTTTTTCCGCCTAAAGCAGAGAAGGAGCGGGAGGAGTATAACTCTCAGCCTTTATCGAAACTGAAAGCATCGTATTAGATTGAGCCACTCGTCTACTGGGTTCGTCATCCCTGCCATCGTTTCGTATAGAGAAGAAAATACGTATATCTCCCTCACCTCTTCATCCTCGTCATTTCCATCCTCCCCGTCGTTTCCTTCCTCTTCATCCTGGCTACCCCACCCTTCCGCTTCCATGTTGTCGCCACGGTCTCCCCCCCCCCTCGCCATCTCTCGCCGGGGCCCATCTTCACGGCCATCACCTTCCCCTCCGCTGATGTCGCCGTCGCTGCTGGCTTCGCTGCTGCTACCGCTGCTACCGCCGCCGCTGCTTCTGCTGTTGCCACCGCTGGAGCCACCGGCACCGAGACTGTGCTTGATACCGTCTTCATCACCACCCACCCTCCCGTTGCGATCCCTAGCATCACCACCGTCGTCGTCTGAACCCTGTTCCCGGCGGGCCTGGTAGGACCCTGAGTAACCGGTTGCATGCCGTCTATCATTGCTCTCCTCCTCCCCAGCGGTGGCAGAGGTAGCGGCCGCAGGGGAGGCTTCTAGGCTGTACCCGTCAAGCCCTCCGATCCCTCCAAAATGCCCTATCCCGAACAGTGTCCCGTCTCGTATTTTATGCTGCAGCAGGTCGCTCTCCGTCGGGGCGCCCTTGGCGGTTTCGTCCTCGGTTCTGCCTTCGTCTCGATTTTTCTCCTCGACTTTCCCGACGAGGGTGGCCTTGCTTTGGTTTGCGTTGACTCTGTGCTGCTGTTGGCCTCCACCGTGAGGGATCGGTTGCTGCTGGTGTCGATACATTGTCGGGAACAAAATCTCGTTTCGCCCATCGCCCCGGTTTATTACCTCCTCTCCTTTCTCGTCGGGTAGGCCGGAAGCGGCTGGGACCGCCTGTAGAGTTTCATTTCCGTTGATTGTTTAAAAGGCATACCGTGCAGCCACAGCAACAACAGAACACCATGTAGTATACCCTATAGGCCGGAACATGTCGCTGTTTGTGCTCGGAGATGCACTAACGGTTTGGTTGGACTTGTGATCTTTTTTGTGGGGGTAGTTGTGGCGAAATTCGCTCCTTGTTCAGTGTGGCTCATGGTACAGCAAACCAGGAGGATACTAGGGGATATGTTGTTCCTTGTTGCGTCTTGGGTGTCTTACTGGTGGACACGAATTCGCGTAAACGTGCAGGATGCGGACGAGGATAGAATGGGGGTTTGTAAGGAAGCGAATTGTTTTGAGTTGTCCCATAGGAGAACGGGGTAGGAAATGCGTCACGGTCCCGTTCTGGCTATATCTGGCCATACCGAAAGCACTTCTTGGCGGTAAGTCAGTAGACCTATGTGCATAGGGTATCTCTTTTTGCTGGGGAGCGTACGGCAGTGCCGCTGTACAACTGATACACACACACCTGCCGTTGTCCCGGTTGTGCTTGTGGAGGACTTCCCTGCAGCTGCCGCGAAGTCGGGTCTCTCTGCTCCTGTCCTTGCTTCCCCCCAGCGAACGTCGTGATGCAGTTCTCACTCGCCCCTTTTTGTCCCAAACTGCCTCCATCGGCCTCGTAGTCATCCCTGTCAAGGTGATTCCCTCCAGCCAGTGATGACTCCGCCTCCACGAAGCCAGGTCCGGACCCACTATCTAGCGGAGAGACCACCGCCCCTGCACCGGCGCGCCCCCTACGTTTTCCGTGTCCTCCTCTGCCTCGACCGCGACCCCGCAACCCGCCCCCAGCGGCACCCCTCGAGATTCCTCGTGACGCTCCGCGCACAGCGGGGCTGCTAGCACGCAGGGGGCCTCGCAACGAGAAGGCACCGCGGGAAGATTGTGGTGTTGTCGATTCGCCGCTACGGGGCGAGAGGGGGGCTGATGACGCCGGTGATGAAGTGGCTGGTGCGACGCCAGCAAGCGAGGAGGACGCGAGCTCTACGCCATGAGACGGTGCAAAGACTGACGATGGGGTGCTCCTGCTCGACCGCGCTGAACCGTAACCTTGGGGTGGGGATGTTCCGCCGCGTGACGAAACTGCGCCTCCCGGTGACGATGAAGGTGTTGGGTCACCAATCCCAACGGCACCCCGAGGACCAGCGCCATCACCACCATCACCGACACCAGTAACGGCATACTCTCCTTTTCCTCCTCTACCTACTCGTCCTCCCCTCCACCCTCTTCCTCCTCTTGCCCCTCTCCACCCTCGGCTTCCTCGGACTCCTCGTCCTCCGTTGGGGGGAGCTCCGTCGTAGGCAGCGAACGGTCGCGACAATCCGGGGGGTGGCCCTGGTCTTCCGGACGGGCCTTCAGTGCCGCCATCTCCGGCTAGGCTTCCGATGACAGTCGAAGGAGGAGTTGAGATGATGCCACCCTCACGGAAAGCCGTCATGTTACGGCCGGTCTTGTTGCGCGTTGACGGGACAGGGAGCTGGTGTGTGCATGACGGGGTGGAAGCGAGATTGCACGGGGGAGGAGGTGGAGATACCCACGTTGTGAGCATGTCGCGGGTGGAGAGCTCCGTCCAAGGGGCGCGGCATTTCTTGCATCTAAACGAGTACATCTGGCAGAGGGGAAGACATTTCCTCCTACAAAGGTTGTGCAAACTGAAATGGGGTCTATGTGCCCCATGAAAGCCACTTAGAAGGACAACGTTCTCCGCCGGAAGGGAGCTACGGTGGGTCTGTCTGTCACCTTCGCGGGTTTGGGAAGTTTACTCTTTTTCTGAGACAGACTGAACTCGCAGGGCACGCCCTTCCTCCTGCAGCTCAAGCAAGGCTTGGTTCCATCGCACTTGGTCTGCGGCCAGAGTTAAAAAAGGAACAAGACACGGATTAGAGCCCTAGAGCATACGTGTGTGCGTTCGTGCGTAGGTGCCTGCATGTGCTAACTGAACCGCCTACGGTCAAGCACACCCAAGCACTCCTAGACGGTTGCAGAAATCAACCAGCAACTGCTTTTTATCAAATGACAAAGGGTGAGTTCTAATACGGGCTCCGTGACGTCTGGAAGAGGGATACAATATGAGGAAGAGGAGCAGCAGCAGTGAAGAAGGAGTGCCCACCTTTTTCATTGCGCACTCGTTACAGGCTGTCCGCAGCACCACTTGACGCCCCGGGACAACGTTTTCAGGGGGGGCATGAAGACACGGATGTAGACATGCGGGGAGAATGATTTCGAGTGAGACCAAGCGTCGTCATTTGAACGCCAAACAACAAGCGTACCGCCATCACGGTGGGAGGGACGGGGTGGCACACCTATGGAGTACCGCCAGCATTGATTGGTCGTGGCCTAAGGCAAGGCAAAGTGTCCCTCGCCACTACACTGAGCAACCGGCGGGAGAAGTCGGAGGCAGCTCGAGAAAACTGCGAGAAGCGTGGTCCTTTTCACGAATAAAAATACCGAAGTACTTTGTTCAAACATGCCTTCCGTAGAGTACCTAATGTAGTGTACGTCCAAGTTCTAAAGTAACACTATTTTTGCCACCATCCGAGTCGCTTGTCTATCCATATTTATGAGACCCCGACCTACAGAATGCCTTTCTCACCAGCGCTAGGCAACCGGCGTGGTGGCTGTTTCCCAGGCGCAACCCTGGCAGCTATACTCCCGATTCTGTCTTCATGTCTCTCTCCCTCCCCTTCAGAGCTCCCGTTGCCGCTCTCCCCACAACCGCGACCAGCACCATCCACTGCGTCCACAACAAGGCTACCGCCACCGCTTTGGGTGCTAGAACCGTCAATGGTACCATAGGAACCGCCGCCAGCAAGACCTCCGCCCAGATATCCCACAACGGCAGGGAAACGACTGGAGCCGCGGCCATCTACCAAACGACCGTTGCAGGTTTTGTCGAACCCTCCAAGTGCACCATAGCCGTCGGTGTTGTCGGTGGCTTGTCGCTGCTGCTGTGCTACTAATGGAACCATCAGCTTTTTTGCACCGCCCGCTGCAGTAGCAGAAGTCGGGGATCGACGAAGCATTCTGCTGGTCAGCTCGGACTGGCTCAGGTCAGCGAGATCCGACGACGACCCTGACGAAAGTGGAGTTGACGGTGCCATCGCAAAGAAGGAAGAGCTGTCCAGTGAAGCTAAAGATGTAGCTTGCCCTCCTTGGAGCGAGTCCTTGGTCCTGATTTCCCCCTGTTGCAGCCCTGCAGCCGTGCATGGCGCCGTCCCATCTGGCTGACTCCTATGCTCAACTAACGTTGATCCAACTTCGGCAGGTCTTGTAGTCATGTACAACGGACGCTCAGGAGGGGACGGGCCAAAGATATTATTGTGCGGCTCGAAGACGGCGGCAGGCGAGAAAACACCACTACCAGCTCCTGCGTGCATTGGAGCCATGATTTGTGATGGCTGGCCATAACTTGACGTTGGATAATAACCTACAGGACCGGGCGAGCCAGACGTAGCGGAGGCGAGAGAGTCCTTGCAGGGGCCTTTGGTTGGAGACAGCCCGGTAGATATCGTGAGAATTCCCGTTGGTGAAGATACGAAAGTAGGCGAGTCGGGACCGATTCCGATCAACGATGAAGGGCGCTCCGAGCTCTTCCGATCGCTGAAGTCCGTCAACAAAGCATCATGCCTACTCCCTGCCCCATCAAGGCAACTCCCGCTGGTGCTGGTACCATTGGTAATGGTCTGCGGTGGCGGAAATGGTGCCGGAACAGGCATTGGCGATCTTTCATGTGGATGCTGTTGACTGTTGTTGTTGCCGTCGCCGTCGCTCACGAGCTGGAGAGTTTTGGAGGCCCCTTCGAGCGGGGCGGGGAATACCTCTTCCATCGGTTGTTTCGGCACGGCAATGAGTAACGGTGGAGTCTTAAAGACCCGTGTACCATCCATTGCTGTGCGGGAACGAACGTACGAGAGAGCCGCCCTGTGGATCTTTTCGTTGGATATTATGTACGTCGGCTTGTTTCGACGGAACGGAACAACTTTTTGAAACCGTAAAAAAAAGGGCGGCGGGATGTTGAAGGCTACTACTCTCTTCCCCCTCATTGAATGCATGTGTGTGTGTGCATTCATCACGGTGTTGAAACTTGGGTATCGGTATACATCAGAGGTTTCTTCAGTTGTGCCATTCTACAATGGTTTCTAATGCTCGCTCTGTACTTTGGGCACCTCAACGAAACTGCTGTGAAATGTCTCTTCTCTCACGTCATGATGCTGCTGTAACCCTGATGGTCCGAGGAAATATCTGATTTGCCTTTATCTTCGTGCTCATCACGCGTTCACGCACGGCCGCGGTACCACAGCAGGGTTTTATTTTCGGAGTTTGGTTGTTGCGAGAAGTGGGTGCCGCCGCTGTTTGGTCAGGACACCAAGTACACACGCAATGAGGACATGCAACGTACAGAAGAAGACGGAATGAAGACATGCAACATACACTCAATCAATGAAGAAAACGCATGGTGGGTGCTTCGCTGGTACAGAATGCCAGGTGTTCTTTTTTTTTAAATGGCTGAATTTTGGCGGGAAAGGGGGCGAACGGCTGGGAACTGCTGAGACTGCTGTAGTCCCCCCATTTGTGTTCGAACCAAGCTAAGCCCCTTGGCCAGCGGCCATCAGCGTGGTGTGCGTGATGGGCGTTGCAGTTGTTATTTGGAGCTTGGTGTCCGTTGTAGGAGAGTCGGGCGCCCTCTCGCTTTATCTCTGCCATGGCGGCTCCCTTGTCGGGGGCAGCGTCCACAGATCTTTCAAAATCTGTGAAGCTGAATCTCAACACCCGCCGCCGCCGCAGCAGCAGCAGCAGCAGCAGCAGCAGCAGCAGCAGCAGTAGCAACGGCTCTGCCCAACGATGGTGGCGCATGGCTCCTTGCTCGTTCTGTCGCAGCCAGAGGGTTGCAAGTTCCAACGGGGTGTTTGCATGCTACAAGATGAACGCGCACCATCGCGAGGTTGAGCTGGTCGACGCCGATGGCGCGCGAGATGGCGTCGGGATACTCTCTGCTCGCTCCGAGCTGCAGAAGAACCACGTCCTGCCCAAACAGGCGGAACGGCTCGGAACCTTTGGAGACTTGGACCCGGACTCGACGCTCAACTCGGGCGATGGGGTCACGTTCATTGTCAGCTGTGACGAGTGTGCCGGGTTTTCCCTGGGGCTTTGCATCGACAAAGGGCACTGCCAGCAGGTGCGCAACGTGTCTCGCTTGTTGCATGTACATGCTTCGTGTGACTCTTATCCGTCTCCGTTTTTTTCTCTCTCCGCCTCGGCAAAGATGGTCCGCTTCTTTCTTCCCACGCACACGATGACCCCCCCTTTCGTACCTCCCCGGTGTGTGGTGTACGCCGTCGTCCACATGGCATGTACTCTCTTACGGTATTTTAGTTTGCATGCCGGAACGGCCTTTCTCAATTCAGTGCGATACTTCATTGTTACATTGTTACAAGCAGGCACGGGGCCAACGTTTTTTTTTTTTTTTGTAACCCGCGGCATCACGGACCTGGATGTAAGGATACGTACATCGGCATGACACGTGCTGGTTTGTCTTGTCCAAAGACGTTTTGCATAGTTCGTTGTCAGACTCTGCCCTCCCTTCTGGACCGCGATTCTGGACGCGTTTCTGGCTGTTTTCTGTTTCAAAAACGGTCGGTAGCCGACCTTAGGGCGTATATTAACGAAGTGCCGAAAATCAAAATCGAAAAAATCAAAATCAAAATCGAGATGTGATTGGTCGAATATATGCTACCTCCTGACGACGCCCTTCGATTTTATGGAAGTTCCTCTGTCTGGGAAGAAGTCCCCGGGGGACTTTTTTTTTATCAAAATCAAAATCAAAGAGGCAAGGAGTTCAAGACTTCGAAGGCTTGGAGCACCTGCCGCGAGGCCGCTGCAAAGCAAGTGTACGACACGACCTGCTGCACACTGCTCATAGAGGGGCTATCGGCACCCTACCACCGAGACCATGGCCCGTTATTTGTAGCCAGAAGACTCTGCTCGCCGGTAAGCCATAAAACGGGCCGGCTCGTTGGGTGCTCGAGGAGAAAATGCCGATCGTGACAAGCGGTAAACGGACTGACGATCAGAACAGGGCTGCGCGGCTTTTTCGGGCTGTTCCGTGCGGGAGAGGGTAGTTGCAACCTTTTTTCTCCACACTCACGATACCCCAAGGCATCTAACCTTGTATGAGACAGATGGTGGGTAAAACTACCTCCCGTCGCGTGGCATTGCTAATGCTGTTTCTTCCTCCTTCGAAGAGTTATCGCTGAAAAACTAAACTGTGAGCAGACATTCGGCGCGAACTTGAACTAGCCTCTCTCTGACGTGGATTTTTTAGGGTCAACCAAAACTTTTTTCCCTACACGCACGATACCCCACGGTAGCAGACCTTGGGCTTGAAAGATGGAGCAGGGACGTACCTCCTGCCGCGTGGCGTTGCTGTTGCTGTTGGTTCCTTCTTCGGAAAGTTATCGGTGGATATCGCAACCCGTGGCGGCCCAAAACACCGAACTTGAAGTGACCGCTCGCAACCGTTGGCATTTTTGCTTCAACACAACCTTTTTTTTCCGGCGCACTCGGCACCTCACGGCCCCAAACCTTGGCATTGCCCAACAGCCCATGTTTCCAGCTCCTTCCGGATACCCTTCTTGAGGCAACTCGTTCAGTATTGGCGAGATATCGGCTAACACGTGAACAGAAGAGCGTAAAACGCACCCTAGAAAAATTACCGCTGCGCTGCTGGCTCTTCCCCTGGCGCCAGGTCTTTTTGATTTCTTGCCTCATCTGTCTCCTATCCTCGTTAACATACACGACCCTCTTTTTTCAGTTTTCCACGATAACGCATTTCGATTTTGATTTTGTGCCCATTTGGATTTTGATTTTCGGCTCTTCGTTAATATACGCCCTTATATTTGTCTCATCGGCTTGCTTTGCATTCATAGGGAGGGAGAGAGAGAGAGAGAGAGAGACAGAGCGTACAGCAGCCAGCAGCAGTAAAGGCAAGGCAAGCACCGCACAGGCCCCCTCCTCTGTGAGACCCTGGATGGGAGCTTTTGCTTAGACTGACGATTTTCATGATCTTCTTTGATCTGGCCGGCGGTATGTATACGTCGCACGGTGTGGGTAGGATTTTTTAGCACTCGCATTGCAGACAACGGCAATAATCACTCACGACCCTGTGCACTTCAAATTCGACAAGATCATTTGCAAACATCTCCCCCCCCCGAAATACTCCAAAGAAACACCTCCCGGGGTAAACTTTTACGTGTAGGAGGGAGCGGGGGGTCATTTTTATTGAAGCACACGTTTCCTCCCCGGCCAGATAAAAGTTTTGGGGGACGGGCAACACAAAGCGGACAACGGTGACGGGTAAGAGCAGCTGTCAACGACAGCAGTATGTCCGGTGACTTAAACAAAAATGAATCGCCTTGATTGATGGTTGTGCTACTCACAGCCCTCGAAAGCCAGTGAGGAGTGCCCCTGGTTTTGTCGACGTGTGCACCGAGGTTTGCGTGCACTACAGTACAGCAGTATACCTTGTAGCGAACAAGCATACAGCGCACCACAATGTTGGTGTGCATACCCCCCTCTCCCCGTCCTATCCCCATCTATGTCGCCCCCCGCACCCGCACGCTTATGTCTAAGAGATGCCGGTGTTGGAACTGAACCATATTGGCTACTAATTGTGTAACCTCTGTCCTACTTGTGTGACCTTGGCGCGGGAGCTCCTGCTATTTTTTTTTGGCATGTGCGGTTGTCGTGTACTGCTTGGGATCCGAGAGAGGCGAAACTCAGCCCCGAAAAACGGGCGGTGCGGGAAGAGCGGCACGCTCCAAATAAAAATGCAGAACCGTCGCTGAGTGCCGCAGGTAACCATGCCGGTTTGGAGAATCTAAGATAGTCGTGTGGAAAGTGCAGACGTTCAACTTACAGCGTTCTGGCTGTGTTTCGGCAAGGTTGCTTCTTGTTTGTCCGCGACTTTGCTCGAGTGTTCTAAGCATGTTCAGCCGACCTGTTGTGTGCTTGAGTGCAGTGCCTCCCACCACCGGAACACAACACCAGCGTAGGCACAACGCATGGTACAAACATGAACGGTGGCATTTGGTATTCCGTGTCATCTTGGCTTACCCTCCTCAGTCCCACCAGCGCTCGTCCGAGAGGGGTGCCGTGCATGGCAGCACGCCGGCACGCTACCAAATACAGTACGTCGGCGTAGACGTGGTGTTTTTGCTCGGACAAGGTACCGAAACGTGGCCAGAAGCCTGACTGGTGATCGACACTACTGTCGATGGCCATTGCTCCAACAACGGGCACCTATAGTCCAAAAGAGAGCGCTCAACGAGCGCGCCACCTGTGAACGTGGGGGGGATCGACAAGTTCGTTTTGAAACCTAACGCCGCTTTCCCAAGGTCCTGGTTTTTTTTTTCGCGTATGATGTACCAACCGTTGGATCGTTTTTTCGTTTTTTTTCCCGCCCCTTTCTTAGGAGAGGTACGCCAACAGTCTACCTGAGAGGTCCGCGAGACGGGTGCGCCAGCGCCCCCCCCCCCCGCTCAGAAAGAAAACTACCAAAACGAGCAAGGCCTCGCCTTCGACCGAGAAACCCACCGCAGGAGGAGGAGGAGGAGGAAAAGGAGGGGTTCACGAGACAGGAAAAGCGGGAGGAGTTGGAGAAGCCAGAGGGGACAAGGGTGGAGGGTGGGGGAGGGGAGAGAACACGACTAGCAAGAGGGGAGGAGCAGCGGCCGCAGGATCGCCAGGCGCTAGAGGAGGGCGCGCGAGCGCCGGCGGGACTGAAACATGCCCAGGAGGAGCAGCAGAACCATCAGTAATAAAAGATCCGGGGGCGGAGGGTGGCGGGGACTCCGCAAATTCCAGAAAAGCGACCGGGAAGAGACCAGTCAGTGGTAGAGGGAAGGGAGAACCGGCGGGGGGCGGTGAGAAACCAACCGTGAGAGGGGTGGGAGTATCAGCGGCGACAACCGAAGTAGGGGAGGGTGGGGGGGGGGAGAGAAACACCAGTGCCGGGGGAGGGGGCGAAGAGGTTGGAAACGGGATAGAAAAGGGCGGAGGCGGAGGCGGGAAACATCCCAATGGCCGAGGAGAGTCCGTTCAGGGTGCGAAAAAACGCCCACGTGCCTCGTCGGGCGAGGGGGTGGTCGAAGGTAGCGCTCGTGGCGGAGGAGGGATGCAGCGTTCATCATTGTCACCCAAATTCGCCGTACCATCTAGCGACAAGCGTAGGCGCCTGCTCGAGGGGACGTCGGATGGGAGGCCGGGGAGTGCAAGAGAAGGCGTTGTTTCCAGTCCCAGGAGATCAACCCCGAGGCGGTCGAAAGTCAATGGGGTCGATGCTAGTGCGCCCGTGGCGCCGGTGGTCGTGGAAAGGTTGCCAAAATCAGTGATTGTGTCCGACACGGACGAGGAGCGAAGCGCGAAAGCGGCGTGCGGCGAACGGAGAGGCGGCGGCAGCGAGCAACGGCAAGATCACGTCGGCGATGGTGGCACAGCGTCTCGGCCTCAGAAAGCGCCTGCCTTTGCCGACGGCCGCGACTGGCCTCGGAATACGGTAGTGCCATCACCGCCGTTGCCGCCGTCACCGTCCAGCCCGGGATCGGCGTCGGCGGTTCTTACCGCGAGCGCTCCGGGGAAGGAGCTCGCCGCGGTCGTCACTGGTGAGAGCGACGCGGCGAGACGCGCTATTTCGCCGTCTTCGGCTTCCTCCTCGTCATGCGTATCATTCTCCACCCCTTCGTTAAGCGTTGTAGACGCTGGCGCCGAGGTTGGTCCTAAGGGCAGCGGCGGTAAATGTCGCTCAGCCGAGCCCTCCGGCGGACGCGGAGAAGCTGCGGGGGCGGCGAACGGAGGCTCGGCGAAGACGTCCACGCTGAGTAAGCGGCGACGTGGGCCTGATAAGCTAGAAACGGCTTCCGGAGGAATGGCTGGCGTTTCTGGTGGTGAAGTTGTCGGCAGTGCCAGGTCCGGTGGGGGGCGGACGGCGGCTCCACAGCGCGCGGGGGCGGAAGCGGGGAGAGGAGAGGGAAAGAAGGACGCAGGGGCCCAGGCGAACGTGAACGGAGGACCGCCACAAACGCCTGGCCCTGCTGGCGCTGCTTCTTACACCGCTGGTTATGATGGTACTGCTATTGGCTCTGCCGCTGCTGCCGCTTTGCCCTCACGCTTTGCTTCTTCTGCCCCCGCCGCTGCGATTTCTACCCCCGCCCCAAGTCCCCCTGCTGCCGCCGCCGTCGCTGCCGGCATCGGCAAGAGCGCGCGGACCGGACCGGAGTCCACCACCACGACAGGCGCTGCTAGCCAGTGCCCCCGAAAAAAGATCGAGCTAGCGAAGTTTGAGGCGATTCAAAACCAAGCGTACAGACAGGCCCAGGAGCACTGTCGGAAGCAACTCGCCCCTCTGGAGGCCGAGCGCAGGGCCGTGGAGGCCAAGCTAGAGGCCATGAAGCAGACGCTCCGGAAAACGATGAGGGACGCCCACGACAAGCGGGTGAGTGAGATCGAGGCGTTCAAGGCTAACCTCTACAGTGGCACCGATGCAACGGCGGGCGGTAGCTAACGGCTCTTGACTGCTTCAGCTTGAACGAAAAGCGCTCGATGCGATATCGCCGTTATGAAGTGCATTCTTTGTCGAACGTGCATGATGTGTACCATAGGTGAGATATGTAGAGTTGAACAGCAGCGTGAAGGGCGAACGTATCCCGAATGCTGATGAATGTATCTCACGGACGGCTGGTAACATCCTGCGGGGTAAAGCCGTGGCCCGAGTTTGTTCGCGGGCTTGAGCGCGCACAGCGGCGAGTAACATTGGTGTGGGTGGGCGTTGGGTGTTTCGAGGCATACAATCTGTGTTTTTGTCGCGCTATTGTTCGTGTTCGGTGGTGGGGGTGTTGGTGTTTGTGTTTCACGTGCTTCAGGGGGGATAGGCGTTGCAAGTGTGTTTGGTGGCGCTTAGGGGTCGGACAGCAAGTACGTCTGATGGCGTTTGCCGATCGGGTAGCCCGGTCTCCCTTGTCTTCTTTCCTGTGATGAATAGCGGGAGGTGCCGCCGATTTCGTGGCATTAGCCCGTGTGTGCCTGCAATCTTAACACCGACAAGGGGGTTGCAGGGGGAGGTCGTAAATGCGCTCCCCCTCTCCACACTCGAGCAATCAATCCCATCCAAGGGGCACACGCGAGTTTTCGTGCGTTTGTGCATAATGCAAAGCTCGTTTCCACGTCAAGTATGACATTCCGCAAGCCCGAAAGCCGGCCTTCGTTACCGCAGGGATTTCCCCGTTTTTCGGAGCAACCTCGCATTGACTCCTCCTTTGTTTTTGTTCCAAACGAACTTCACGCTTGTGATGAGATGTGATGTGATCGCCCACCTCGAGAATTATGCATGAACGTTATTTGTTTGAAAGCGGAGCTGAAGTTATGTTCTAGAAGTGGGGCATAAGACGACTTGTGCGCAGCGTTTTGGCTGGTGTGGATCAGCTACCTAGGTAGGGGAAAGACACTCATCATTCGGTTTGTTGTGAGCAAGACCTGCCCGATCCTTTTTCGTGGAGGTGGTTTGTCCCTGACGGCCTGCTGTACGCAACATGGTATGCCGTTCCCCACCCCCACGCTGACTCGACGAGGATCATACCAAACCAAACGATAGGGTTTGCATTTTTTAGGAAAGCATCGGAAACCTCCTTGATGTGGCGCAATCGGTCTTGAAGCATTGGCTCACAAGAGCAGCATCTTTTTCGCACACTGTACGTGAGTAGCTGAGGGGGATTATGGTGCTGTAGTGTTTTTGCCGTTGATGCGTCTTATACAGCCGGCTTCTTTGAAAATACGACGAAGCTGGCACGTTGCAGGTGCCGTGTGTGAGAGATAACTATTACATGGTGGTGCTTGAAGTGGCGACGGTTGTTTAGAAAGCAATTTGGAGGGTACGTCCCATGGCCTTGTTCGGTGTGACCTGTGCTTCGGAACTCTTAAACATCATACGGTGGCGTTTCCGAGTATTTCTGCGGCCGGGTGGGTTGGGGGGGGTAATGTCAGGCAAATTAAAAGAAATATGTGCTCGGTTGGACCGATTCCGTATTATTGTACTGCCGTCTGAAGATGATGCCTTGGCTGAATTGCACATGAAAGGGAGTTAATTTCACTGACAGCGGGAAGTGTGATGTTGTGATTGGAGCGTTTTTTTTTTGGGGGGGGGTGAACGAAGTGGAAACGAACCCGCTGGCTGGGATGACCAAATATCCGCGTCTTCTTTCTTTTTTAACATTTCGCGTGTTGATGCATCCTACTGCTGTAAGGTCAAAATATTTCCGTCATCAATTTGCATCAATCGTTACTTTGAAGTTTTATACCTTGTCTTCGATCGAATAAATGCTGTGACCGCACTGAGTGCAGTAAGTAGTAGTCCCGAACGGTTTTATTTTGTTACTATTAATATCATTGTTCTACAACAATTACACAATGTCACTCATCAACCAATACGATTGCAGCGCTGGAGAAAAACGTTCGGGCAGCGACCCACAACCAATCTTGTATAGACTGGCCTTCTCAGTACACACACCCCACAATTAATTACTTATGTACGTAGACTTGCTATTATAGACTTAACTATCAAACACATTGTAGTGTTTGTTGTTTTTATTGATTGGTAGCGTACACCCAAAAGACAATGAATGGTGTCATAGATCACTAAATACGTAGTTTCCCCAAGCACCACACAGACAGCTACAAAAATGTATATCTTCCCTGTCGGTACCAGGCTCAGCAATACAGTTTGGGCGGCCATCTTGTATAGTACCACATCTGGCTGCTCGTGCTTCGGAGAAATGGAAACGCCTATATTTTTCTTAATATGACACAACGAAACCATCTCTATCATAGAAAAGAGTCTGACTGAGAGATTAGCAATGGATTCATAGCGTCAGAAAGTACCTGTATGTCTATTTTTTTTATTTTTCTTAATATGACACCACGAAACCATCTCCATCATAGAAAAGAGTCTGAGACAGATTAGCAATGGATTCATAGCGTCAGAAAAGTACCTGTATGTCTACGATTTCCCAGACAGCATATAGGGACATCTCCCCTGCGGGTAACAGGCTCAACAAGACAGTTTTTTGTAAAGTGAAAAAAAAATGAAAACCGGGGCTCAGTGGTTGAATGCCGAAGGTATGGAAGGCATACCTGGGATGCATGTAAAGGTTTTGGAGCGCGAACCCCCCTTGACCGATTCACCGATTCCATGATGATTCGATTCGGTCTGGAGCACTTCGACACAGCAGCAGCACCCAACAGGAGGGGGGGAGAGAGAGGGTCCCGACTGACCACCCAGCGTACGCTGGTTTGGCCAAAGCGTGTTGGAGCTGCAGGAGCTGCACGAGAGCAAAAGGGTCGCCCCAGAAACACTGCGGGCCGTTGCTGACTTCAACCGAGAGATACACGACTTGAGACCTCGATCGAGGTTGCGTCACAACTCTCCGCGTGGACAGCTACTCTCTCCACCAGCGGTAAGACGCGCCTGGTGTAAGCGCGGATCGGGGAACTAACGCTGCTACGACATCATGAAAGCAGCAGTGTGGACTCGTTTTCGTCTTGAAGTGTGTGTAAACCTTCACACCATGACCTGTTGTTTGTATACGGGAGTCGTTTATTCTATGTGCGCGTTGTCTCCTCGTCTTCGAAAACACTTCCCCTTGTGTCGAGTACCAGCGTATCATATGCATGCAAAAGGTTCAGTTGTTCGTGCTGTTGGGCAGGAGGGCCCACCTCTCTCTAAAGATTGTGCATCTCGCCTATACAGAGAGAGCCACGCCAAACCGTTTCGCGCCTCGAACCATGTTCACGACGATGTCGTTGTGGAACTGCTATGAGTGCATTGCCGTTCTACTCGTAAGTAGAAGTATGTATAATAGTCAGTGAACATTAGTAGAGGTAAGCAGGCCTGCCCGAGAGGAGTGTATGCATACTACGCATGTTGCGTGGTAACGCGTGTTGCGTGGCATGCTGTCGGTGAAGCCTGCTGCTGTTGAGATTGGTTCCGAGTTCGGGCAGGTGAGCGAGAGAGGTGAAAACGTTTTCTGCACGTTTGCCGACGGTTCAGTTGTAGCAGCAGCAATAAGGAACAACATAAACAGCAAGTAACCCACCCCGCTTGCTTCTGGTTTAGGTATCTTGGTCGCTCAGCTGTTGGAACACGGGCAAATAACACTGCTCTCTGTTCTAGCACGAGCGAACATTCTCCACCTCCCGTTGTTCTGTGCATAGCAACAGCAACGACGACGGCCCTCACGGTGAACCGGCAGCAGCAGCAGCAGCTCGTCACTTGTGGAAGAAAACCTAGGACCACAAGACCACAACATCAACAGGAGAGCGTAGCATACACTGCTTATCAACAGCGGTACATGTACATAGATGCTCAGCTCGTGATTGTTCACTTTAAGTCTTCAAAAGTAGTCTTAATGTATTGAAATGTACGGTTTACGACAGCTAGGTGCAGAGAACGGTGAGAACCCATGCGAAGGTGAAATAGACCACAAGCAGCAGGAGGTGTTTCCTCCTCAACAGAAGTAGCACACCTATCACTACCGACAAGCCCCCGTTTTGGCGTTGAACAGCAGCAGTGGCACCCAAACACAGGCCCTGCAGAACCTAGATTGGGTGGATTGGTCAATAGGAAGCCACCCACGACGAGACGTTTTGCTACCTGGAAAACCGGGCACTGGCTCCCGTGTGAAGAAATAATCAGTTACAAGAGCATTGGTCTTCGGATAAAGGCAAGAGACCAAATTGGGCTTGCGCCCCCCATGAGCTGACCTAATGATGGGGTTTACCTGACGGTGCCGACTATAGTACGATGGCACACAGGCCGTGCGGCACTCACACGCATCGCCCACGCTGCCCATCGCGGGGAAATAGCTGCATATTGCATTCCATGACCATGTGGATTTTCCATGCTAGGTGGGCCGCTGTGGTAAGAATTGCTTCTATACATTGCGCGATGTCGAAAGCCAACGGTCAGTCAGGTACGCTCCAAGGTGTTTCAACACCGCTACGGATGGGGCTTGGATTGTATAGTACAGGGTCAACCAGGCCTCCAGATCTATATGTGCACGTGTATGTATTCTCCTATCCTCTACTGTAGGTCCCCCCAAAGCCCTCCTCCCCTCCATACCGGCCCCTCCATGCAACAGGCAAAGCCATGTTTTGGAGATCGGTCCCCAGCGTGCCATGGGCCGGTCCGTCTCCGCGGGGGAGCAACAACGGCGCCGGCGGCGGTGCCGTCGGCGCCGGCGGTCGTCACGCGAAGGGGGGCAACGCTCAGAGGAAACAGCAAGCGCCGGAGCCGTACTCCCTGGGACACCTGAGAGTGCTCTTCCAGCGATTAATCGACGCGCAAGAGGGGAGGGTGGAGGGGGAGACCACGGTGGTAGAGACGCTTCGAGGTGAGCGTGAGGAAAAGAAATCTCGTAAGTGGTACTTTTGGGGAGGAGGGGTGGGACGGGTGGAGGGCTGGTCCACGAGCTTGCTTGGTGTTGAGGGATATCATTTTGTTGTGGCATCATTTTGCGTAACCACGCGTCTTGATCGAGACTAGTGTAGCACTGTGTGTGTTCGTCCCTTTCTATTCCCCAGTAGTTGAGTCGCTTCCGGCGCACTCAAGCGTTCCTTTTCGTGGTTCGTCAAAGTGTTCCGTTACGTATGGCACCCATCCACCAATTCTCTCTCGCTCTCGCTCTCGCTCTCTCGCTCTCTCTCGTTCTCTCTCCCACCCCCCCTCCCCTCCCTGTCCCTGCCACGCACCCTCGTCTGTACTCTGTGCCGCCGGTCGCTTGTAGCCATATCAGAGGTGGTGGTGTATGGAGAGAACCAGGACGCGAAACTGGCGGCGCGAGCAGCGGCCAAGGCTCAGGAGAAGCAGGAAGAGGAAGAGGAGGCCGCTGCTGCTGCTGCTGCTGCTGCTGCTGCTGCTGCCGCCGCCGCCGCCGCCGCTGCCGCCGCTGCCGTGCTTGAGGAAAAGGTGCGCGCCTAGGCTCGAACATCCTTGTATGCGATGTACTTGTGCACATATGAGCTAGATCGTTGGGTTACAAGGCGAGAAGAACATTCGTATAGCTTCGCTTCGGCACAGAAGACACCAAGACACCCGGCCAGCCCTCCTCGTGGGGATGTAGCGTCGTTGATTCCCCCGCCCGCCCGCCCGCCCGCCCGCCCGCCCACCCCCCGGCATTGAGGTGCCTCTTCCGGTGCTCACTACAACTCCCCGCGCGCCCCGCCCCCCTCCGCGCGCTACGCCTACCGCCGGCAGCCGCTAGCGCCCGACGACGCCCCCGGCGGCGACAAGGCTAGGGCGGAGGGTAGCGGCACGAGACCGCCCCCCAAGGGGGCCGAAGGAAGCCCCGCGGAGTTAACTCCGGGGAATTCCCCCCCACCCGTTCTGGAGATGTTGACGACGGACGTCCGGAGAGAGGACGCGTTCTTCGAGCTCTTCTGGTAAGGGAGAGAGAGAGGGAGAGAGAAATAATGCGGGAGGTTTCAGTTGGGCTGGAGGCGTGTTCTGTGGAGGGTTATGATCATGCCGCGCGAGATATGTAAATTTCCACTTAGGTAGTGTTGTTTTGGAAATGTGTGTGTATTGTTTTGCATGTGTGTGTGTATGTGTGTGCGTGCGTGCGTGTGTGTGTGTGTGTGTGTGTGTGTGTGCTCGGATGCATGTCTTGGCCTGCTCGGTTCTTTCGAAACGGCCGTGCAGCGTCAAGGACTTACGTTCGTGCCGTTCGCGCCAACAAGCATGATGTAGGTGCAGCCTTGTTCACGTCTCGATATACGAGAAAATTCCTTCTTGTAACATCGTTTGTTTTCAGTAGTGGTAGCACACGTGTAGGCGCCCCCACTGTCCTTGGCGTTTTTTTCACAACACGGGTAGGGGAGCGGGGATGGCATGCCCGTCCAAGACATCGTGTAGAAGACTGACTACTCCAGTGGAATGAAGGGGGGGCGGTAGGGAGGGAACGGAAGGTGGGGGGGGGGGGGTGTACTCATAGTCTTGCATGCCGTAGTCGTTTGACCATTGACCTCGCATCCCTACAAAGCCGGGACGGAGCACGCCGGGTTCTCACCGGACCAGGCTCTCACATCACCAAGCGCGAAGCGCCGTGAGGTATTTGGCGAGTCGCATGAAGGGTGAGCTGCATCCTGCTAAGGGTGTTCGGCATCTTGTGCTTACTTCCTTGCGTACGGATGACAGCTACGTATGACTTAATTTATTTTCTGGTGCTTTCACTTCCAGAGACAGTTGTAAGCACTGTGTAACTGCCTCGAGGAAGCTTGACCATTTTAACACAACGTGGTGCGATCATCCCCCGTTGCGCGGAGCGAGGTTTCTCGACCCCGCACAACATGATCTACTCGACCACCATTATGGTTACGGAAGGTGGGGGGTATCCCAAATGATGTTCGGCAGTACCAATACAGAAAAATATTGAAAATCTCCAGCGCTGAACGTGTTATCCTCCCGCCCATCGGTCCCAACCCCGTGGTTGGCCGAACCCCTCACACGAAAACGAATTGATCGATCGGTGGTGCCCCCGCCCCCCCCCGCCCCCCCGCCCGCCCCCCTTGGCCCAAAAAGCGAGAGGAAAATGATGGAAGGGAATGCCGGAACTCCTTAGGTCCCCTTCCTCGCGCCATCTGCGGATGCGAGGTTGCTGTCCCCGTCGGCGGGGCAGGACAGGCGGGGGGCAGC